GTGCGCCGTGGCACTGGTGGTCAGCAGCGCGCCCAGGTTCTGGATGGAGCGGCGCAGCCCCTCGGGCTCAGCACGGAACTCGAGCTGCGCGTTCTCGTGCGGGTGCTCAGGGAAGGGCCGTGCCGCCAGCTCCCGCAGCCGCTCGCCCATCTGCTTCTGCACCAGCAGCACCTCTGTGGCCGAGCCGTGGTGCAGCGCCTGCTCCGTGAACGCGCAGCTGCTCAGGATGCTCTCCTGGCCCTGCCGCAGCACCTCCAGCTGCGCCTCCAGCACCTGGGGGGAGCAGCACCTGTGACACCAGGTGGGACCCACACCCAGCACCCACACCTGCATCGCTGTCCGCACCCCAGCCCTGAACCCACCACAGCACCTCCAGTTGTGCCTCCAGTGCCTCTGGGCATGGCCCATCTCTGTGGCGCTGGGGCAGGACCCCCAGACCCAGTACCCCCAACCAACGCCCCACCTGCATCCCCCACCGGCACCCGCACCTGCACCACAGCCATGCCCACAACCCCAGCCCTGGTGCTGCACTGGGACCCCAACTGCCACACTGGGGGTGCCACTGGCACTGGGGCACGGCTGGGGCATGCACACCCTCCCAGGAAGGGCTGGCAAAGGGTGCAGGGGCACACGAGGACAGGTGTGTTACCTGCTGCTTGGCAGCACAGGTGGCCTCCAGGTCGCGCAGCAGCACCTCCCGCCGCTGCCGCAGAGCCGCCTCCAGCTCCTCGAAGCTGCTCCCGATCTCGGCCTCAGCCTCGGCCCGGCGCTGCCCCAGCTGCCGGCTGATCTCGGCCACCAGCCCCACGGCCGCTGCCAGCTGCGGGAGCCTGGAGGGACAAGGGGAGCCCCTGAATGCCTCCAGACCTCCAACTCCCTCTTCCAGCACCCCCAGCTCCACAGTGCTGCCCCAGCTGATCTCAGCCACCAGCCTCACTGCCGCTGCCAGCTCTGGGAGCCTGGGGGAATATGGGGACCCCCTGAACCCCCAAAGCCCCCCACAGCTGTAGGAGCCTGCAGGACTAGGACAGTAGGGGGACCCCAGATCCCCCTGGACCAGCCCCAGTCCTTCCAGCCCTCCTTCTCCCTGTACCATGTGTGAGTGACACCAAGCTGGTCCTGCAGCCTGCGGGAGCGGGGCCGTGGTGACCCCCGGGCACCCCCAGGCCCCCATACCTGGCGCGCACGGCATCGAGCTGGTGCTGCAGGGCCGCCTTGTGCTGCTCCAGCACATCCCGCAGCGGCACCGTGTGGTGGTCCCGGTGCTCCCGCCGCTCCCCCTCCGTGCACTCCCGGCACATGGCTGTCTCAC